GCGACTATGGATTCTCAGCCTCTCCAGTGTGGTGCAGCCACTGTTGGACTACTCGGACTCTATCCTGTGAGCTAAGCTGATAAACTTCTATACATATATATTCATTCTACTGGTTCTGTTTCTTTGGAGAACCCTGACTAATACATATATGCTTCTTGTATTTGTATGGGAATGTCTTTCTTTAATGTTGGGAAATTTTCTTCTACAATCCTGTTGAAGATCTGGTCCATACCATTATCCCGAGATTCTGCTCCTTCCTGTACGTCTATAATTTGTAAGTTTGGCCTTTTTATGGTGTCACACAATTCCTGCATATTCCATTCTGTGTTTTCTTAAATTTTTCATAATCTTTGCTTGAGTGGTCTAATTCAACCACTTTATCTTCCAGTCTTGATAGTCTGTTTTCTATTTCATTCTATTGGTGAGGCTTTCTCCTGTCATTTCTAATTGGCTTAATGAGTATTTCACTTCCTTCTTCATTTCAGCCTGAGCATTCTTCAATCTTTCTCTTTTCTGAATTCATTCAGAAGTTTATCCCTATCTTCTTTCAGTTCTTTGATTTGTATGTGCTTCATATTCACTGAATTCTTTTATCATGTTTATAATTGTTCTTTTGAGTTCCATGTCCTGTGTTATCTCTAGGGAGTTCTCATTGTACTCCTCTAGAGGACTGTTGGTACTTGGTGGGGATATATTATTTTGATTTGTCATGTTATTATTTTTTCTCTGTGACTTTGACATGTAGATTTCTTTTGTAGATTCTGGTTCTTGTGTGAGACTCAAGTCTTCATTTGTTGAGTTTTGGTCTGCTTCTTTTTGTAAACTTTATGTGTCTTTGTGGTTTATTTGTTGGGCATGAAAAGCTGGTTGGTCTAGGCTTCAGGTTCTATCTCTTGATTTTATATTGGAATGGCCAGATTGCTTTCGTCTTGCTTTTCAGGAGTTCCCACAGAGGCCCAAGTTGGATGGGGATCAGATGCTCTCAGGCTTTCTCCTAAGGTCTGAATCCCTCCAGGAAAGATGCTAGCCTTAGGAATTCGAGGGCTGGGCTGGCCTGGGAGCAGGGCCCAGGAAAATGCTGGTCCCCAGGGATGCAAAGGGAGATGGGGGTGAGAAGAGGCCTGGGGGCACCTGGGGACTACAGGGAGGAATTGGGTTGGTCTGGACACAAAGGGTCAGAAAGCAGTGGGGATTGTGGGCTAAGAGGTCAGTCCAGAGGTCTGGGGTGTCAAGACAGGAAATGTGCCAGACCCCTTGCTAGGAGGAGAGATGGGGTGGGGGAACTGGGAGGGTGAATGAGACTCGGGGAGTCAAGGCTGGGTGGACGCAGCAGCCAAACCTACCCAGGCAAGCTGCTGGCTCCAGGAAGCTGTGGGGCTGGGCCATCCAGAGATGCTATTTACTCATTCTTTACTCATCAGAAAATGTTATGAGCATTCTATTCCTCATGTTATAGGGAAGCGTATCAAAATCACTCAAAGGCTGCAAACAAGTAAGGAAGATCTGCAGAGTAAATCTTGAGAAGACCATCATCCCTCAAAAGCATTAGATGCATCAGCCAGTTACTTGATAAACACTATGCACTGTCACTACTCTCAGGAGTCAACTACTCAGGAGTCAACAGCAAACACTTGGAAGCAGAAATGTGTGAACTCTAGGAGCCACGATTGACAAGTTACTACTAATTATACTGCGGAAATATTCATCTATGGAACATTGTTGGAAATCTGGCTCAAAATGAGATGCACCTAAATGCATCTAAGCAACAAAACCTAGTTCATTAAGAATTATGAATTATGTTTTAGTTATTGCTGTCAAGGTGTCAGAGAAACTGAGGATTTGAGAAAATGGGCAACACAGTTCCTGTTATTCCTGCAGTTTTCAAAATGTCTCACCCAGAAATCAGGAGCCTGTCCTGTGATGGTCACGTTCAGGTGTGACTTTGTTCTGCTAGGCTTGTGAGAGTAAACCATATTTTTTTCAATTTTTTTTTTTCAATTTTTAGAAACAAGATGTCACACTGTAATACAGTCCAGGCTGGCTTGGAATTATGGAGCCCAGGCTGACCTGGAATTTAAGGTAATCTCCTGGATCAATCTCCAGATTGCTGGGATTATATAAATTACCATGCCTTGACTGGGCTGAGAAGTACCTAGATCAGTAAAGCATACCTCTGGGTATGGCTGTTAGAGAATTTTCAAAGAGCATTAAAGGAGGAAGACCTGCCCTGAATACAGGTGGCCCCATCCTATACAGTAGACAGCGGCTGGGTGGGATGAAGAGGAAGAGGAAAAGCTTGCATTTCCTGCTATGCAGAACCAGCCTTATCCCAGACTGGAATCTGAAACCATGAACCAAGACAGAATCATCATTTCCTCCATGTTGTTCTCCCATACATTTGAGCCACAGCTATGGAAAACAAACCAACAGCTACCGTTCCTAGTTACCTACAAACGGTGATGTACATGCTGCTGTGGAGGCATTTTGGAGATATGACTAAGCCCACCACCAATGCACTTTTAGAAGGGTGATTACCCTAGAAAATGTGGGTGAGCCTGAGCCAGTCAGTTCAGAATCTTCGCCAAGAGCAGAACTGGGGCTCCCAAGCGTGGGAAGAATTCTACCTGTGGGCACAGCTTCAGCTTATACAGAGCCCCAGCCTGCATCCCACTGGCCCGCCCTTCTTGTAGGTTTTTACAGTGGATTCCCACTTGCCTTACTGACCTCCACAGTGGTACAAGGCAATCCCTTCTAACACATCTCATATATATCTTTTCTTGGTTCTGTTTCTCTACTTGAATTCCAACACACCTTCCAGTGGGGACTCTAGGAATTTGTTATATCATTTAGTGGCAAGTAACAGCACTTTCTGCCAAAGAACTTTGGGGGCCCAAAATGCAAGCAACAAGAGTGGGGATTAAAAAGCTGAAGCATGACAGTGTGGGAAACAGGTACTCCTTGTGTGCAGTTCTATCCAGTCCCTGCTATGTCCCTGCCAAGGTCCCAGGCTAAGTCACATAGGTCCCCAATTCTTCACAGGGTATTTCAGTAAAGCTTAAAAAATAAAACAACAAGCTAATCTCTCACGTTTCTATTCAGTTGTCAGGCAGTGAAGCCAAGTCCCCTGGGCCTGGAAACTCCCTCAGGGAAATCAGGTCTTCAGGATTTACTGGAGGTATGAGATGATTTCAGGTACTAAAGTGCTGTGAGGTCATAGGTAGTAAGTGGGATGCTGACAACTATCAGTTACCTCTCCAGGCTCCAGGGAGACAGTTCTGGGGAGGTGATCTCTGATTTGAGATCTGAATGGGAATAGCACAGGCCAGAGAAACAGCCTACAGTGTTCTGCCTAGCAAGCATCAGGTCCTGCTTTCAAAAATTCCTGACCACCATCTGAATGACAGTAAAGAGAAATGTCCAAGCGTCAGGAGGAGTCCAGGGTGTCCCTAGGACAGAATAGGTATGGCTGGATTACAGAGGTCAATGAGAGCTTTGTATTTCTTTCTTTCTTTTTTTAAATGTTTCCTATTTCTTTCTTTCTTTTTTTTTCGGTCTTTTTGAGACAGGGTCTTTTTGTAGCCCCAGCTGGCCTGGAACTCACTATGTAGACCAGGCTGGCCTTGAACTCACAGAGATCTGCCTGCCTGTCTCCCAGTGCCGGGATTAAAGGCGTGTGCCACTAAGCCTAGCCTTCTCAATACAATTCTATCGACGTTTTATTTTTTTCTAGTCGTAGCCTTGTGATGGGTGTCCATTACCAGAACGTAAGGGGGCGACTCTAAGCTACTCTCAAATGTGGAACCCTGATGTACATAACTGCCCATGATATAGCCTAGTAGGCAAGAGCCTCACGGGACACCATCGTGGACTCTGGGCTTGGCATTCTGACTACCTCCTAAGGACCACAACTCACTGAGGTTTTTTGGCAACGGCCTCCTCACTACTAGGGGCAGCTCACCCGTTATGGAATCGGACTCACCTGATGCACTGCCTTTGTTTTGGAGAGAAAAAGAACCAAAGATCCTATGATAAGCTGATGTTTTAAATCAGTGATGTCCCAGCCTTTAAGGGGAGCTGCGATGGGTGGTCCGTTGACGGCAGGTGCGCTTTCTTCCGCACAGGTTTGGACCAGCAGGGAATCTCTTCCTAGGGAGAGCCCGGCCTCGGAAACAGACCGGACCCCTGGCCGGTGCTGCAGCCACAACTGGCGGCGGGGGCACCGGAAGTCCGTCCGCGGTCCTCGTCCTCCAACAGGTGGGTGTGCGACCACCTGGACCAGCGTGTTAGCAACGACCGTGGGCAGAGACCGCGGGGCCGACCCCTGCGAAGTCCGTCGGCCTCGCGCAGGGCAGCGCGCGTCCGTGCCGGTGGGCCCGTGGGCCGCCGCACCTACCTCGCGGGGAGGGATCTCGAGGTCCCTGGCGGCCAGCTCGCACCGCAGCGCCGACGCACCCCGGAGGCCGGCACCGCGGCGAGGGTGCGCATGCGCACCGCATCCCGGAAGGACTGGGCCGGAAGGCCAGGCCGAGGCCGCAAGGCGAAGACTCGAACGGACGCCTGAGCTAGAACGTCTCGGTCCCCACCCCGCCCGGCTCCGAGGTCCGGACGGTAGGCGGTGTGGACTGCGCAGGCGCCGTGGGGGCCGCAAGATGGCGTCCAGGGCCAAGAGGCGAGCGCTGGCGAGCGTGGAGCGGGGACCCCAAGTCCACGGCGAGGACTCCGAGCAGGATGAGGTGGAGGGCGAGGGCGAGGACGAGGACGAGCAGGACAGTGACGACGACGAGGAGGACGAGCTCGTGGACCAGGTGAGAGCACGTGACCGGTGTGCTGCGGACCTGCCGCGGCGGCTGGGAAGCTGGACGCACGCGCGGGGTCTACGCGCAGAGCTCCGAAGCCCGGCGGGTCAGCGGCCGGCGGAAGCCCAGGCGAGCAGACAGCCGCGGGCGTCCTCTTCTCCGGAGCGGTTGCAGGCTGCGCACTGGCAGTTCTGAGTGCTTCCTGATCGGTCCTCCTGTTCAGACGTTCCTGCAAACGTTTTCTGTTTGGGGAGGAGGGTAAAAAAATTTGTTTTTATTTTATGTATGTGAGCGTTTTGCTTGCGGCTAAGTGCACCTGTGCGTGCAGTGCCCGTGGACTCCAGAGGAGGGGATGAGATCCCCTGAAACTGGAATTGAAGAGCGTTGTGAGCTGCCACGTGGGACCTAGGAACCAAATGCAGTCTTCTGCAAGAGCACTAAGCGATCTTGATTGTTGAGCCGTCTCTCTAGCTCCAAAGTTTTTCCTTTGTGTACATCTCACCGAGGCTGTATTTTCTGCCTTCCTGGGGCAGCTGACCTGCCCAGAGTGTTTGAATTTATGGCCTCACAGATCTGGGGTGCTTTCTTCATATTTATTACTACCTAGTACCTGCTGAGGCATCTCTCCAGCCTTTTTTTTTTTGTTTGTTTGTTTGTTTGTTTGTTTGTTTGTTTGTTTTGAGACAGGGTCTCCCTGTAGCCCCAGCTGGCCTGGAACTCACTATGAAGACCAGGCTGGCCTTGAACTCAGAGATCTGCCTGCCTCTGCCTCTGCCTCCCGAGTGCTGGGATTAAAGACCTGTGCCACCACACCGGGCCTCATCTCTTTATTGTCTTGGGGTTAACATGGAAATGTAATAGACTGCCGGTGACTAAGACCATGTTTACTGTAGTGGCCCACCCTAGTGGTGGTGCAGGAAGAGGAGCACTCACTGGTGGTGGGGTGGGGTATAAATTGGTGCCGTCTTTTCGAAGGGTAATTTGACAGTATTTATGAACATTTAAAGTGCATACAACTGAACAGTACCTTTACCTGTAAGACTTTGCTCTCTAGATGGTAAGGGTAATACTGCCTCATGACTTCCAGGTTCTATGCATTTTGCATTTAATTCTCATATCAACCTCATGAAGTTAGGACTTACAAGTAAAATCACACAAGTGAAGGGAAAATGTGTATGTAGTTATGTGGAGGAAAATCCAACCAAGCACATCTTATGTCTCCTGCTTGACAGTGACCTAAGGGAGGAGTAGGAAAGGCCTCTGTTTTCTGCAGCCATTGTGGCTTTTATCCCAGCATGTGTGTCTTTATTTTAAGATTTACTTATTTTATGTATGTGCCTATGCCTGAGCATATGTATGTGTACCATATGTGTACAGGAGCCCACAGAGGTCAGAAGAGGGCTCTAGAACTGGAGTTACACATGTGAGCCACCATGCGGGTGCTGGGATTGAACCTGGCCGGGTCCTCTGCAAGAGCGGCCAGTGCTCTTAACTGCTGGGTCTCATTAATCTCTCCAGTCCCCATTTTCACATTTTTGACTCCTTGCCACCAAGCATTTTCTGTAGATAAGTAATAGAGAACAGACCTAAAGAATGGAAGTTGAAGAAAAATAAAACTTTGCAAAGTGGAAAATATTGCCTGACTCCTCTTGGAACGCTATGTAGGATGACCTTTGTGTGCTCCTAATAGGAAGTGAACGTTGACTTTGAAGCTTATTCCATCTCAGATAACGACCATGATGGCATTAAGAAACTGCTGCAGCAGGTAATGTCTTCCACTCCACACATCTGTGCTCCCCTACGGCCCTCTCACACAGGGCCCACTCCCTAGAGAAATACAGGTCCTCCCATGCAGGGCCCACTCCCTAGGGAAATACAGGTCCTCCCACACAGGTGCCCACTCTTGCTCCCCTATGGAAATATGGCGTCTGCGTTTCTGTCCTCTGCACTTGGCCTTCTCTTCCCTGGCGGCTGCTGGGTCTGCACCTCTGCTCCTTGATTCCCTCCCCTAACTAAGTTTGTTGTATTCTGAAATACCCTCTTGAGGTAACTACTTGAGCTATTATTCTGTTTTCTCTAGTTCACATTCAATCTCTGTTGGGCAAAAGAATTCTATTTATTTATTTTTTTGGTTTTTTTGTGTTTTTTTTTTTTTGTGTTTCTTTTTTTTTTTTTTTTTTTTTTTTTTTTTTTTGAGATGGGGTCTTCCTATAACCCTAGCTGGCCTGGAACTCACAGAGATCTGCCTGCCTCTGCTTCCTGAGGATTAAAGGTGTGCACCACCACCCCCAGCTATTTATTTATTTGGTCTTTTTGAGACAGGGTCTCCCTGTAGCCCCCGCTGGCCTGGCATTTGCTGTGTAGGCCAGGCTGGTCTTGAACTCACAGAGATGCGCCTGCCTCTGCCTCCCAAGTGCTGGGACTAAAGGCGTGCCACTACGCCCAGCTCCTAAAATTTCTTTGACTCTGTTTTTTTCTTTTCCTTTTGGAGTTACTTTTCTGGGTCATCTTGGTCAAGTCATTAAATTTTAAAAAAATTTTTACTAAAGGATTTGATTGTTTATTAGAAATTATTCTTTGATCTTAATTTAAACCATTTACTTTCTTTTAGCTTTTCCTGAAGGCTCCTGTGAACACTGCAGAACTCACAGATCTCCTGATTCAGCAGAATCACGTTGGGAGTGTGATTAAGGTGAGCAGTGGGTCCCTCACTCCTTACTCTGCTCAGCTCTGACTGGCCAGAGGCCACGGCAGTGGTCCAGGGTTGTTAAGTTCAGCCATCCAGGCAGTGGCAGTGGAAGACAGGACTGGGCTGACTTAGAAGACACTTGGGAGGTGAGCGATGGTGGGTTTACTGTGCTCGGTTCTTAGCAAGAGAGAAAAGTCATGGATGATGCCTGAGCTTCTGGTGAGAGCAACCAGGATAGTAAACATGGAGGGTAGACTCGGGGCAGGTGGTGTGGGTGACACAGGATTGGTACATTTTTGAGTGGGGTGCTGGGTACACAAGGGAGATACTGAGAGGTGGGCTGGAGCCTTGGGGTTTCTAGCAGGTGACTGGTCACTGAGGTCATACAAGTATTTAGGATGGCCGAGGGAGGCGGAGGCAGGCACCCTCTCATGTCAGCAGTGCTTGAATGAGCAAAACAAGCGGCAGGTCGCAGAGGAGACAAGGATGGCTGGAGCGGGAGAAGGAAAAGCCGCAGATGCTTTTGTGAAAGCACTAAAGGAAGAAGCAGTTGTCTAGCTGTTCTGGAGCCCAACACAGCGAGGACCCAGCACGGTCCTGCCTCTGCTGCCGGTCAGCTGCGGTGTCCCGCCTCTGCTGCTGTCATCTGGGGCTCTCCTGCTTCCCCGTTGCTGTATAACAACCCCACAGCTCAGTGTTGTAGGATTGCCACAAGCATCTATTTGGTTTGTGATCGCCATTTGGACTGGAGTCAGTGGAGACGATTCATCTTGGTTCCTGCTCTGTGTCATGTTAGCTGAGGAGGCTCAGGAGTGGGGATGTTCCTGCATGGCCTTTGCCACATTAGCTGGGTGTCTTCTGAAGTACAGGGAAACTGTCAGGTGTTGATCTTGGAGACCAGGGCTGGATCATGAGTTACCTTCCCATTGTCCATTTTTCTGTTATCTTGTTTTCTTGAACTTAAGACATCCTGGCAAGGGTTGTACACAAGTCCTAGCAGCCAGTGGTGCTGAAGGCCCCTGGGACTTTGGGCCTTCCCACCAGAACAGGTTGGAGGCCATCACGGAGTGGTGTGGAAGCAGTAGACTGTTTTGTCTCCTTCATTCAGCATGTATTCCACGTGCCAGGCTGCGTTCTGGAGTGCCGTGAGGAAGTGTCTGTGACTTGGACGAGGGATCCAGGGATCGGCATTGAGAACAGAGGGCTTGTGGGCCTGCAGCAGGGCAGGGTGTGGTTTCAAAAGTGAGAACAGTGGGGCTGGCATTACATGTACAAACTGAAGTGCTCTTTCCTTTCTAAAATAGCAAACAGACATTTCCGAAGACAGCGGTGATGAAGCGGATGAGGATGAGATCTTTGGCTTCATAAGCCTTTTAAATTTAACCGAAAGAAAGGTTAGTTTCACTGGGTGCCGTTTGAAAGCTTATTCCTTTCTTTGATGCATTGTCACAATGGAGTCTTCTATGCCAGAGAATGATTATTTTTTTTTAAATTGTATTTATTTTATGTGTGTGTGTGTGTGTATAGCGTGCATGTAAGTAAGAGCATACTTGTCGTGCAATGCCCGTGGAGGTCAGAAGAGGCTGTCAGATTCCCCTGGAACTAGAGTTACAGACAGTTGTTAGCTGCCATGTGGGTGCTGGGATTTGAACCCGGGTCTTCTGAAAGAACCACTAGTGTTCTTAACCACTAAGCCATCTCTCCAGTCCCCAGAGAATGATACTATTAGGATACGGGCTCTTACTGCATTTTCAGTGTGGGATCGTCCTTTGGAATAATTTGTGCCTAGCTTAAAGCTGATTCCTCCTGGCACGCAGCCACCAAGCATTTCAAGCTCTGGCACTCCACCTTCCTGACAGCTGACAGGGTCTTTTGGCAGTGCCTCTGCAGCTGGTCTTTGCTACTAAGACTGTGGATACTGTGGGGCTTTGTTCATGGGCTTTCCAAAGCTGGGGGCGGCACTTAGCAGTTACTTCTATTTGATCATCTCTCTTTATTGACTCAGTCATGAACTCTAATAAAAACTGTGCCAACTATTTTATTCTCTAGAGAATAAGACGGAGGTGACAATTTTAAAATGAACTCTCCAGTTAATTTCCATCTGCTTCTGGAGATAGAGCAGGAGTGCCAATCCAGCGTGTGAGTGTTAATGAGAACCTTGTATTCCCACTGATCACAGGATGCTAATTAAGCAGGTGTACTTACTTTTGGGAAATACTTCAGCAGTCAGCACTGAAAACACTCCAGTTTTAAAGGCTGTAGGAGGAAACCTCCAATCTGTGAACCACAAAGCGATCTCTTTGTTTTCCAGGGTACTCCGTGTGCTGAACAAATCAAAGAGTTGGTTCTGAGCTTCTGTGAGAAGAACTGTGCAAAGAGCATGGTTGAACAGCTGGACCAACTTTTGAATGATACTGCCAAACCTGTGGGCTTTCTGCTCAGTGAAAGATTCATTAACGTCCCTCCGCAGATTGCTCTGCCTATGCACCAGCAGCTTCAGTGAGTCTCTGGGAGGGGCCTCATTTTTTCCAAGTAGATTCAGAATTTGACACTTGAAATGCATGGGTTGGTGCAGAAAGAGCTGGAGCCCAGGCCACGGTAAGTGTAGAGTGAGGGGGCCCAGTAGGCCCTCTGTGCGGCACACTCATTTCTAGTGATCAGCTCCTTGAATGCTTCCAGTTATTGGTGACAGTCATTTTAGTGCCTTTAAAAATTCAGGTGATTCATAAAAGTTGATGAATTTCCTAGAGTTCATATTTGACTGACAGTTTTCACTTTCATTTTGTTTAACTTAACAAAATGTTGAATGATTAATAACAAAACAGGTCACATTCCTAAATTCCATTGGTATCTTTTTTGTCTTTTTGAGACAGGGTCTCCCTGTAGCCCAGCTGACCTGGCACTCACTTTATAGACAAGGCTGGCCTTGATCTCACAGAGATTTGCCTGCCTCTGCCTCCTGAGTGCTGGGACTAAAGGTGTATGCCACTGTGCCTGGCTGGTATCTTTTATAACTAATAAAACCACAGCCCTAATATTCACTCCCACTTCTTGGGTTTTTGCCATTTAATATAGGAGTTTTAAGTTTGGAAAAAAAGTTTTTTAAATTTATTTTTATGTGTATGAGTGTTTTGCCTACATGTATGTAAGTATACCACGTTCATGCAATGCCTGCAGAGGCCACAGAGGGTGTTGGATCCCCTGGAACTGGAGTTATAAATGTTGTTAGCTGCCGTGTATGTGCTGGGAATTGAACCCAGGTCCTCTGTAAGAGCAGCCAGTGCTCTTAACCACTAAGCCATCTCTCCAACTCTGAATGTGAAAAATACTTAAATACAAGAACTATAAAATATAGCAAGTAAAGTGAACTAAGAATAATCGCATTGCCTATGCTTCAAAGCACAGGCCTGAGGAGCAGACAGTGTTCTCCGAGAGCACCTGGCAGTGGGACGGGAACTGCACCCTCGCAGTCTTCCTGTTTGCTCCTCCCTGGTTCAGCTCCGCAGTCTACCCGTCTCCCGCCTGCACCCAGCTGCAGCTCAGGCTCTGCCCTATGTGCTTTTTTTTTTTTTTTCCCTAAATAGCTGGGGCTCACCCCTTCCTGGCCTCAGGAGCTTGATCTGCTTTCTGCTGCATCAGTGTTGGAGCTGAAGTGGGTTGTTCTAAACATACGACGCTTTTGTTTAGCACCAGCCAGATGTCAGTTTTGGAAGGAAGACATTTCATTGCCATTCCATTGATTATCCTAGAATGTCGGGTGTCCACACGGGTGCATTTTCTGCAGTGTGTCAGAACTAGTGATGGAGACTGGTCACAGACTGGTGCCATTGGGGCTGTGACTGTATGCCTTTGAACATGTTAGTCATATGTTCATGATGTTTAAAATTTAGGTTATTTATTGATTAATCTTTTTGAGTCAAGGTCTCCCTGCAGCCCCAGTTGGCCTGGAACTGGCTATGTAGACGAGGCTGGCCTTGAACTCACAGAGGTCCTCCTGCCTCTGTCTCCTGAGTGCTGGGATTAAAGGTGTGTGATAATCCACCATGCCTGGCTTAAATTCAGGTTATTTTTAACTCTACATAAAACAATAATGTTTGAGTGACTCTGAGACTCATCTGTTACCTGTTGTGTTATCTGTATAAACTCATCTTCTGTGGTAAACGAAGTGGTGCCATCGTGTTCTGCAGTGTAGCCGATGGCATAAGTCAGCCATCTGCTGTGAGCTCTGGCCTGTGGACAGATTAACCTGTGGTGTGTGTGCCTCGCAGGAAAGAACTAGCAGAGGCTCACAGGACGAATAAGCCATGTGGGAAGTGCTACTTCTACCTGATGATTAGTAAGACATTTGTGGAAGCCGGAAAACCCAGTTCCCAAAAGAGGCAGAGCAGCCAAAAGCAGGAGGTGTTAATGTTCGCAAATGCAGAGGAAGAATTTTTCTATGAGGTAAGGGCTTCATATGCTGAGCTGTCAGGGCTTTCTTGAGACTCGTCAAGATCTGTTGTACTGCGTGCCAAAGTCCTTCGGTCCACTATGATTGTCTCTTGGTCCTGGCTGCTGTCTTACATATGGTCGGACACTTGTGTACCCAGAAGGCTGCTCACCAGGGTGCACTGTAGTGGTGGGGCTGAGACCCATTAGGTACTCTAAGCTTATGGTGAGCATCTCTGTTCTGGACCAAGCCATGTGTGCATGTTTTGATTTTGAGAATTTGCCCATTTTGCAGCTGTGTGTGACTAGAGGCGATCATGGCTGCTCTGTCTTTAGGTGTGGCTATCGCCCACTGGTGGGTTCACTCACCTCCATTATCTATGTACGCTCTGTACTGTGATGGACAGCCGAATCGCAGACATTTCCTATATTCTTTCTCACACTGTCCTTTTCAAAAATCTTGAAATGAATGAGGGGTAACTGATTTTCCTGAATTGAATAATTAACACTGTTTTCTGTTTGTGCGTACATACATATGTGTGTATGACTATGGGTGCACATGTGCCATGGCGTGCTTGTGGAGGTCAGGGGACAGCTTTCTGGAGAGTTCTCGCCTTCCACCTTGTTGAGGCAGGGTCGTTTCTGCTGCTGCTCCAGGCTAGCTGGTGGTGAGCTTTCAGGGGTTCTCCTGTGTCTGCCTTCCAGGAGTGCTGGGATTACAGATGCCCACTGCCTTGCTTTTTTAGGTGATTCTGGGATCAAACTGGGGTCAGCTTTGCCCTGGTTTTCCAAGAAGTAAATAGCAAAAACGGGGCTGAGGAGATGGATTGGTCTGTTACACAGCACGAGAGCTTGAGTTTGAATACCCAGCACCCATGCAAAAAGCCAGCTGGTCAGCCAGCCTAGCTGAAATAGTGAGCTTCAGTTCAGTGAGACACTGTCTCAAGGCAGTAAGGTTGAAGATGCCCGATGGACATCTTCCTCTGGCCTCCACACGCACATCTACCCCCACACACACATCTACCCCCACACGCACATGCATGTACCACACACAGGAAAAAAATAGCAAAAATGGATTGTTTCAAGTGTAAGCCATTTCAAGGTATGTGTGGGTCTCAGCATGGTCTGGCTCTGCAAACTCCATAACACCCTTATGCCAAGGGAGCTGCCAGAGTAGATGGTCAGCATGTGAGGACAGTTCTGTCCACATGTCACCTGTCACAGGGTTAGCCTAAGGGTGGAAGGTGATGCTGACTGTGAGGGCCTCCGGGCACCTGTAGTACCTGTAGTGTTTGCTGCCTGTTTGCCTTGGAAGTGGCATGCTTTAATCTGTGTCCTTCATGCGAGTTAAAGTCTGTTTGAAAAGTGTTTTATAATTTCTCCCTGAAACATCACATTTGAACTTTATTCTGAGTTTTGTGTTGTTACCACTTAAACTTACGCCAAACGTATTGTTGCTGTGGGTTGTAGTTTTGCCTTGGGTTGTCCACACCGTACCTCGTGCCTCTCTTGCTGCAGAAGGCAGTCCTGAAGTTCAGCTACTCGGTGCAGGAGGAGAGCGACACTCGTTTGGGAGGCAGGTGGTCTTTCGATGACGTGCCCATGAAGCCCTTGCGAACTGTGATGCTAATTCCAGGTGACGAGATGAATGAGATCATGGAGAAACTGAAAGACCATCTGTCTGTCTAGTTCATTTCCCCTGGACAGTGATGGGCTTGTTTATGTACATTTACCAGAAAACCCAGTGGAGATTTACTGAGAAACTCACGACTTTATTCAGATTAAAGTCCTCTACAAAAAGTAGGGTTCTGTTCCATGTGTCTGTGACACATTTACAAAATACTTTTCTTTTTAAAATTTTGGTCAAATAATGAAGAGTTGATTAAAAACTTCCAATAAGAAAAACATGTAGTAATTTTTAGAACTTAATAAAAACACCTATTTTTGTCTTTTGAGGGGTGTTTGCAGTGTCATCTGTCTGGGCCGTCCTTTGGGGAGCACTGTCTCCTCTCGGCTCAGCAGCCCAGCCAGGGCCCCATGGGTATCCTTATTGCACTTTGTGTTCAGGCAGTCACTGGACTGTGCATCTCTGTTCAGGAGCATCTGGGCCCTTCTCACACATGTCCTGGTCCTGTCTCACGGCTGCCATGGCTGGTAGGTGGCCCGAGGCTTGCTGCAGAATGTCTTTACTTTCACTAGGAGGCAGGTTACTGAAATAGTATTGTGGTGCCAGTTGCATAAATCTGTTTGTTTAAAACAATACAAAACAGAAGTGGATATGAGCAGGGTTATGGTGGATATGGGATAGGGGTATTCCCCCCTCCCCGAATCTGTGTGGAGCTGGTACTCCACTTGAACCCCGTGTCCCAGTCTGCCTTTGTAGATAGCAGACACTGGTTTCCCTGCAGCTGGTCTCCTAGCACTTCCAGAATGTTCCTTCTCTAGTGCAAGGTAACAGCGTGGAAGTGCAACCATCACCTTGACAGGATCAGATCACGTGTTCAGAGAGCTTTGGGTGGGCAACAGGCACCTCTGCTCCCCATCACACCCGGTCCTACTCCACACCTACGTGTAAGCTGCTACCTTGAACATCACTTGGCCCAGCAATAGTGGAGTAATGGCACCTTCTGGATGAGTCCAGAATCTGCATTCCTTTGGAAGGATGAGTCCCCTACTGACTGTCCTCCTGTCTGCCCCTCACTTGGCTACCAGATCTTGACAAATACACTCATCTTGCTGAAAACTCAATTGCTGTGCTGCGTTCTTAGGGTAAATCCAAATTTTGGGCCACAAAGCCCACACTCAGGGTACCACCTATCTCTTGAGCTCTACCTTTCCTCCCCTGACCCGTAGCTCTGGCCACAGTGGCTTATCTGTACCTACAAGTTGGCTAAGCTCATTCCTCCTCAGGGTCATTACACTGGTACTGTCCCAGCACAGCTTTCAAAGACACACCACTCTGTTTGATATTGTTCCCTATGCTGTGATCTCAAAGCAAGCAGGTTCCATCCATGTAAACACAGACACCAGGATAAACAAACATCCTCTGAGTGAGAGTGAGACCACTCAACGTGTGGTCCTTCCTGTGGAGAAGGGGTATAGAGAACCCTTCTCCATGGAACTTACAGTTCGGGGGACACTGCCGAGGCCACCCTGATGTAGTTGTTCTCAGAAATGCTGAACTGGTGGAAGAGGACCCATTCCGGCATCTTCTTGGTGATGGAGTAGCTCGACAACGGATGCAGCTGCGCAACCTGCTTATGTGTGAGCATTAAGTAGTTCCCCGACCCGTCCACATCCCGCGCAGTCTGAAGGGAGGAGCAAAGATAAAGGTTAGAGCACAAAAATGTTACTTGAAAAAAATTCCAAAGACTTACAGGGAATAGTTCAAAATAAAAGCTGCTGTCTGCTCTGTCTTCAGACAAAGTAAGCCATGAATGTGCTTTGCTCAAAACTTTGAGGCAGCGATGGGGTTAACTAAACTCTGCAGTTCAAGGCAATATGCTAACACAGTGCGAGGTGAGTGCTTTGGTTGTGAAAGTGTAGCATGTTACCAGCTAACCATGAGCTACACACACTAAATAGAGGCTTTACACTTGACCTTTGAGCTCAGTTGATCCTCACATAACCCTGTTAATACATAAGCAACTTTGTCCTGAAGAAATCCATGCTGAAATGTCTTTATTTCCCCTCCATTAAGAGTGCTTCAGAGTTTATGTGGAGATGCAATATTGCTTACACTGTGATGGGAAGGGCACACCCACTTCTGTAATGTACATTAATTAGGCATTCCCAACATGGAGACTTAAAAACAAATGAGACTGCTGGGCGTGGTGGTGCATGCCTTTTGCCCCAGCACTGGGAGGCAGTGGCAGGTGGGTCTCTGAGTTCGAGGCCAGCCTGGTCGACATAGTGAGTTCCAGTCCAACTGGGGCTACAGGGAGACCCTGACTCAAAAAGACAAAAAATAAAAAAACTGCAAAAAACAAATGAGATTATATTTTTCACTAGCAAGTGGGGGAGGTGAGGCCCTCGGGTCTGCTTTCCTCTATAAAGAATGGGGCAAAGTTAACATATTCTGGCGTACTAGTTTATCTCCCCCCTCCCAGTCCTATATGTAAATACCAAATCTTAAAGTCAAGCTCAAAAAAACCATGGCCTTGGGGGAGAGATTGCGGGGTGGAGTTCACACAGCAGTGAGTGCCATGCGGCTCTGCCCCACTCACCTGCATGAAGTACCCAGACAGCAGCGCTTTCTTGATGTTCAGACTATTTTCCTTGGAGCCAAAAGCAGGCTCTGCATAGGGCAGCTCGATCCGCTTGATGATGTCTACGAGTTCTGCTCGGATGGCCTCGGCCACCCCAAGGGCAGAGCTGCTCAGGAAGTTGTCGCGGCACCACTCCTCCACGCGGCCTGCGGGGGAGAGCGGCTCAGGGCTGCTAGGAAGGTGGCCAGCTGGGGCCAGGCTCTGCAGGCCCTGTGGGCCACACCTCCCCCACACACAGGGCAGGGCTGAACTGGAGAGGCACAGAAGACTTGACATTTCTGCCTCATTCAAGCAGCCACAAACCAAAGGGGAAGTCATTAGTGTAAATTCCTCTAATGTCTTGTTTGGTAAGAAGGCGCACTACCGGGCTGGGTTCATGCATCTACCCTTAGCTGCAACTTAAAAAATAAAATGGACTAATCTGGTTCAGTTTGAATTACTTTCTTGGCACCTGTAATTGTGTCGACTCAAAAATGCACAGGGCCTCGGCCCAGCGGTCAACAGCCCTCGTCTACCCTGTCCTGTTCACTTGTGCCTGCTCAGAGCAGTGAGCCGCAGCTTTGGTCAGTCACCAGTCTTGCTGGTTCTCGACCTGCCACCAAATCCCGCTGACCTCATCTTCTCAGTCCCCGCTCCTGACACGCCTACTAGTAGCCTTTCAAATTGCTGTCATATTTTCTCTCAGCAGTTCAAGTACTTTTTACACCATCTTTGAGAGCAAAGGGGGCAGATGATACCCTGTGGGAAACAGTGAAGACCTATCGGGAAGGGGTGGTCCAGCTCCATCCTCCACCATGCCGCTCTGCCCGTGCCCCTCCTAAGGAGCCAGCAGCTTCTCCAGGACTGGTGCCCTCATGAGAACTCACGTTCTCACTGCTGTTCAGTATGCCCTCCCTCCACGCCTCCCTGGGCACGGCTGCCCAGCTTTGCCTCTCCCTACAGCAGTGTCCTCTCCGAGTAGGGAGTGAATGTTGAGTGCACAGGACACAGCCAAGCTCTTGACACACCGGGCACCTGCAGATGACTGCTCCTTACCCGCCTCCTCATGACTGCACCCATTACTGTGCCCCAAGCAAGCTCGTTCTGAAGGCTGGATGACCAAAGAAAGCTCCAGAAATCCAGGCCCCTGTGGTGGTACACCAGCACTCTGAGCAAGACGATGGATGCTGGACACTCAGCAGGGGCCCGGGGTGCAGTTAGGCTACCATTCTGTTCAGTGGCCAGTAGGGTTAGGACAGGAGGTCAGTAAAGAACAATTCTTAGGAACTGAGCCTCATTTGGGGAAAGGTGAAATGGGGCGGGGGTTTCTGAGGGACATTTCACTTACGCTCGGTGGCAGAGTTCAGAGCTGTGTCTTGGTAGGCCTTGTAAACGTTGATGAGGGTAAAGTGATCACCTTCAGGGTGTAAAAATGTCTTCCAACAAGTCACCGCAGCCGCCTCAGCCCCGTGAGGCACATGCAGAAAGCAGCTGGGAGCTTTAAAATGCAAAACGTCACACGATCAGCATTGCGGAGGACCCTCATCCTGGCACAACGTGCCTGCCGAGGGGCGGTTGTCTCCTGTTTGGCTCTTGGAATCAGTAGGCTAGTCTCAGCATTATGGCTTAGAAGTCAAACAGATTGAGAGTGAGCTGCCTACATTCTTTTTGTACGCTATTTTGCCAGCAGTAGTTAATACCCTGCTCACATTCCAGTGGAAGCTGGGAGATACCAGGGGCCCAGAGGGTTAGGGAGCGTGCTACATGTGACAGGTTTGCTCCATGCTGCTGGCAAAGATGTATGAAAATACAGGAGCCAGGATGGACGAAGCTGGTAGGAGACAGCCACACGTGCACAGTTACTCAGGAAGACCCCGTCTAAGTGACAGCCCCTGATCTGCACTGATCCCTTCAGAAGGAAGCCTGAAACGTCTTCATATGCCTGACAGGAAATTCACTCCCTTTTGGTTTTTCATATTGAAAAAAATATTCTTTTCCTTTTTCAGTCTATTAAAACACTTCACTATCATTTGCAAAGGCTAAAGGAATGGTGGCTCATTGTCTGCTGTGTGCTCCATTTAAAGTGGCTCTCATTTAAATCTATACCTGGTGTAGGTTCACAGACAAAAAAATAGACATTAAGGAATACCTGTTACCATGGCAGCAATGGTTAGCATTTCGTCTACACAGTCAAATTCACAGGATGCTAGGATAGACTTGGAGAGCTGCGGATCCAGAGGGAACTCAGACATGATGATCCCAAACTCTGAGAGGTTCCCGTCATTGTCCAGTGCTGCTAGGTAGTCCAGGTCCTCCAAGGCCTGCATCAGACTTTCTGGTGCTAGGAAAGGAAAAAGAGTGAAAGGGGGTTAGGCAAATAGCGGATTTTCTCTCTTGTATAAAACAAGCAACGATGAACAAAATCTGTGACACAAGGATTGGCCAGATACTGAACATCATTAGGCAAGGGAAGGCAGAGTTCCTGACAGGGCTGACAGGCTCAACACTGTGGCTGCTGTGTGTGTGGGGAGGAGGGGTACCCATGGGGCCTGAGAATTGTCAGAGGTGGGACTTGGGGGATCGGAGACCTCCCCTGACTGGGCAGCAGAACTCCAATCAGTGTGACTGGAGGGTACGTGCCTGGTGCCTGGAGAACCGGGCCTGTTCCCACCAGCCAGCCAGAGGGAGAGTCCACTGCAGGTACAGAATTGTGAACCCACAAGCACTGCTCCATTGCCATCAGAGGCCTACAAAGCCAGCCCTCCACACTTACGGGAACACAGAAATACTCAGTGTCCAATAAAGGAAATGTATATGGTCTAGGATTTGGCAAACTGAAGCATGAGACATGGAACAGAAAAGCAGGTGAGGGCGTGCAGGGCTCCCCACCAGACACAGCAGATCGATTTTCTCCACCCTTCATTTCTTGTCAACTTCTATGACATTGATGATGCTATGGAGTCTATTTCTATCTGCTCAGTTTCCATAAGAAATCCATCTATTCATTGTCCTTGAAGAACCCAGTTCTCTTAAATACTTTTTTTCCAGTTACCTGGTACCTGGTCTAATGGTAAAGGCCACACAGGGCAGCTCCTGCTGTGCTAGAGACAAGGGTTTAGGAGGCCCATCAGTTGGCTCTCACCTGCCTCAATCCTGAAATGGACAAAGTGGGTAGGGTTGACACCTACAAAGCAAGTGAACCTGCCCACACCTGGGAGTTTTTAGGTAACCAACAATAAAAACAGACTTATTTACTCTCTAAACTGACTATTGGAGGTATCCGAAAATTTCAGGCACACTGAGAAACTTTGAAACCCAGTTACAAGCTCAGATTTGATTAGGTCCCCACTGCAGCCAGGAAAGCCTTTGGAAACCACTAGTGTGCTCAGACTCACACCTGTCACCCTGCAGCCCTGAGGGCAGAGAACAGAGAAACCCAGGGAAGAGACCAGTTCCTGGAAAAGCAAGGATTAGAGACAGGCAGCAAGCAACCACCCCAGTGAGCTCCTTGGAGGACAGACACTCCACAGGGCAGTGCGCAAGGCTACTCATCGATGTTCCCCATCTGAACTTAATACAAGGGGAAAATCTGGGGGACCCTTGGACTAACTGCCCTGGCAAACAAAACCTTGTGAAGGTGCAGTGCCAGGAAGGAAACTGGTGGGCAATTTAGGGACCCGAGGGGTGCAGCTGACAGGTCAGTAAGGTCAGGCCGCTCAAGGAGGGCGGGAGCACACACTTCACGGAGAGCTCCTCAGAGACCAGCTTCTCTGAATTAGCAGAGCTGCGGTGTGGCAAGCTACAGGGTCTGTGACCACTGTCCACACAAGCACAATCACCTGACAGCTGGGCTGTGTCCCCAAGGAGCACTAACTATGTGCTTTTATGCCCTGGCGTTGGATTTACTGTAGAATTAGGAACATAAATGACTTTATGACTATACTCCAAGCCTCATGCAGAAAGGCTTTTTTGAGGTTTTATCAGGAGAAATGGGTTAATGTGTAACAAATTATACAGGAGAAGGAACTGTAACACACAGCAACAACACTTGCCAAGGGTACATTCTACATTAAACGAAAACTTTTTGTTACCTTTACTTACTGTGTGTGTGGGCGGACATGTGCCATGATGCAAATGTAGAGGTCAAAGGACAACTTTCAGGAGTGAGTTCTCTCACCACAGGGGCCAAAGGATTGAACTAGGGCTTGGGGGCAGATGCCTTCACCCACTGAGCCATCTCGCTGGCCCAGTCTACAATTTAAGATATGAAAAGTGTGGCCCACAAAACTATCAGCTCAGGAGAAGGGCTTAGGTGAAGGCTCTTTAAGGCAATGGTGCAGCGTGCAGACCATGGTAAATAGTGTTAACGAATGGCCTGTGTTTAGTGGGAAGCCCCCTTGTAGCCGTGCAGAATGGGCTGCTTTAATCTGAAGACAGTTTCCAGAGGAGCAAAATGACATTTTATTAAGCACTCTTGCTAAGGGCAGCCCTATCCAGCTGTAGGATGGGTCACCACCAAGCTCACACGCTTCCCCACTGCCATCAAAGTAATGAAGGGCTACAGGGCAGCACTTCCTCACTGCCCCACAGGCTCTAATCCCCAGGAGCCCCAAGACCAGCTAGCATGTGCCTGCATTTTCCTTTCCTGGATCAGAGGTCATGAACCAGCTGCTGATTGGCAATAAGGCTTAAGTTTCCCAGCTGGAGGGCTGGAGCGATGGCTCAGTGGTTAAGAACACTGGTTGTCCTTGCAGAAGACCCGGGTTCGAATCCCAGCACCCGCATGGCAGCTAACAACGGTCCGTAACTCCAGTCCCAGGGGATCTGACAGCCTCTTCTGACATCTGCGGGCATTGCACAACATGGGTGCACTTACCTACATGCAGGCAATACACGCATACATATAAAATAAAAACAATTTTAAAAAAAATTTCCCAACTGTGAGGGTCCAGTGCAGATCTGACTGAGCAACACACAGGCCACGTGAGGAGCGCAAGGCTGTGGTTTTATTTTTTTAAATTTTATGTATGTGCATGTGTGTCTCATCTGTATCTACATGTTGTCATGCAATGCCTGTAACTGGAGTTACAGGAGGTTGTGAGCTGCCATGTGGGTGGAAACTAAACCCAGGTCCTCTGCAAGAGCAGCAAGTGTCTTAACCATTGAGCCATCTCTCCAGCCCCTAAGGTCATATTTTTCAAACCTGTCCTCAGGCTCCAGATGAGATGGCAGGAACCCATGATATGAGATGGCTGGCCACCTTTGCTTCCAGGGAGCTCTGCCACTCAGGTGCTCAGGGGCATCTCCAGGCAGGGCTCCTTTGCCATAACTTACACCCTACTTTTTGCCACTTGACCTGTCTTCTGCTACTGGCACTTGTAAGATCCTGAGGCAGGTGCACAGGTGGGACAGTCCCAGCACTGGTCTGGAGTGGAGGAAGGTCTCATGCAGAGACCGCCATATACACCCAGAATCAGGCTTTTCCTAACCATCCCTCTTCCCTGCTTGTACCCAGTTTGTACAACATTGTCAACCCCACTCCCCCCACTAATCCAGGCACAGCAACTGGTTCAGGGCAGGTTCTTCTGCACCCTGAGCCAGGCTCCCTTCTTTGGGAATTTTATGTTTTACACCAAGATAAATCGGGGCCTAAATTCCCCAGGGCTAGCTATACATCACAAAGCTCAATAGAGAGCAGTTCAGATTCTCCGGCGTGTGTAGGAGATACAGGACAAGAACTCATGCCAGTGTGATCTTGAGGCACAAGAACAACTTGGGTTTTATGAGACATCCCAATTTCCTTATCACACAGAGTTCAGCTTTTGCTGAATTTTGGATCAGTGGCTCTCACACTGAGAACTATATTACTTATTGTAATGCATTAAAATATATTTTGTAATGAGGAGTCATCTAAAGTGCCACGTTAGCTTGACAAACTCAGCCCAGGGAGGAACAGAGAGCTACATCCCACAGCTCCTTCTGCAGGCCACTACCTACACCTATCACGCACAGATATGTATTTCCATATACAGGCTGAGGCATGATCACTTGGGAGGGCTAAAGGGGTCAGGTGATGCCTGGTATAGATTACTTCAGGATGGGACCTTGCACACTGTGTATACCGTAGATTCAAGAACGGGAAAGAAGCTGGAGAATTAGGAGATGCACTGGTTTTGATGGTATACACTCTAAAAGCCTTGGCACTCTGGAAAATGGGGTTAAGAGCTTGGCTCGGCTGAGGACAGAAAGCAAGGCCTTCGGCCTCACTCAGTGTCACAGGGCCACCGTCCTAGAAGCTGGCATTTGCCTACTACCCACCCCTTTATAGAGCCACAGCACTTTCACATAAATATCATATGTGAACCTCAAATGACTTGCCAAGGCCACATGGCCAACCAGCTGTTTCTGTAGTTGTAAAATGAGACTCTGGTGTTAGCCTCCACCTGCAGCTCCCTGCTGGAAGCCAGCATGCTCTGCCAGCACAGCTGACATGGGACTCCAACGGCCAAAGGTCTTGCTGGTATCTAGAAACCCATCTCAGGGGCACTCCGATGACATCTAGTTCCTGTGGCTCATTACCTGTTTCTCACATCCACTCAAGTCGCCCTCTCCAGCCCTCAGCAGCAAGCCTTGGGTTTGGGTGCTTAATCATTCCTATAATGCCAAGTATCTACTGAACTGCAGTCACTTTTCTAAGGGATCAAATTAGCTGATCTTAACTCTGAACCAATTACGTTGATTAGTCTCACATTAGAAGTATTTCCATTTCATGGCTTTGAAAATCTCCGCCAGTGTCCTAGTTTGTTTCTCCATTGCTGTGACAAAACACTGACCACTACCAACTTGGGGAGGAAAGGGTTTATTTATCTTACATCTCCCAGGTGAGTTCATCTGGGATCCCAGCCCAAGGTAGGAACTCAGGGCAGGAACCTGGAGGCAGGAGCTGGAGCACAGGCCATGGAGGAACACTACTTACTGGCTTGCTTTCCTGGTCACCTGCCCAGGGATGGCACTACCCACAGTGGGCTGGGCCCTCCCACATCACTCAACAGCGAGAAAGTGCCCCATGGACATGGCCACAGGCCAGTCCAATAAAGGAAATTCCCCAATTGAGGCTCCCTCCATCCAGGTGTGTCAAGTTGACACTAAAGCATCCAGCACACCCAGGTTTAGTTTTCACTATCTGTGAAATGACTTACTTGATACTTCCACAATGTTCCCGCAGGCTGCCTCCTGGGAGTTACTCCTGACACCTCTGCCTCTGCCTCCCTCTCTCTCCCTCTCTCTCTCTCTCTAACGTAAAAACTGTCTACCAGTCAGGCTGGCGAGATGGCTCAGCCAGTAAAGGCTTGTTGCACGAGCCTGACAACCTGAGGTCAATTCCTGGAATCCTTGTGTCGGGGTGGTGGAAGCAGAGAACCGAGTCCTGCACGTTGTCTTTTGACCTATACACATCCCTTTCTCCCACAAAAATAAATGGAATAGAAATAAACTAAAGAAGACCTCGCTGTGGCCTTTGCAAGTGATGCGGCTGAACACGTTAGCGCTGGGCTGTCCGGGGCGGCAACGCGCGGCAGGGATCCTGCCTGCAGACAGGTGTCCCCATGCGAAACTCTGGGGTGGAGCCAACGTGGGAGCAAAGTTAGCAGACCTTCCTTACTCTCCCCTAAGTACACACTGTAAAGCTTGTCAAGACCATTCCGTGCTTCAGTGCAGAATCCCGAGTTTCTGATGCTTCACAAACATGCAGGCATGCCTCATGGAGAGCTCCGAGCATGTCATTGTCACATCAGAAGATCCTGGTTTGCTGATTCACGAATTCTCCAGGGAAAAAAATGTGTTCCTATACCTCATGAACCACTGCAGAGACACATCCCCGCTTCCAGCTGGCCTCTGCCGTCAGGAGTGCGTTCTCTGACGGCAGCTTCGGTTTTCTTTAGGTGCTTGTCTTACGTGCCAAGCCTGGCAGTCTGAGTTGGACTGGATCCATTTTTCTCATCTTTCCTTTTTTTGAGACCTTTCCTTTTTCATGTAGCCCTGCTGGCCATGACCTCCAAGATGACCTTGAACTTCTGATTGTCCTGCCTCTACTCCCCAAGTGCTGGGATTATAGGAGTGTGCCACCATGCCTGGCTCTCATTTTTTCTTTGCATAATTTCAGGAATCAAAGGTCATCCCAAAGCCAGTTGTCTTGGCATCAGGGAAATGAGTTCTTAGTCTGCACACAGATCTGGTGGAGACTGGGACATTTCAACTGTTTCCTCTCCAGATTTACTTTGCCTTCCAAAAACAAAGGCTGTCTGGGACCATATGTTTCCGCTGAGGCCGTCAGTTGGCCCTGAGCTTCTGACCCACACCAACAGTTACCACGTCCCTCCTGTGGAGCTCAGTCCTTAGGCAACCAAGGAGGAAAAACCCCCCAAAACAAAAACACCCAGATTTATCATTTCTGTAAAGAGGTTCATGTCAGGGGAATTCACTCAACTGCTGGTTTATGCCAAGTTCATTTCCACACGCTTCACGAATCCTGAAAAGGGTGACAAGTTTGCTGTGTCGCTCAATTCCATTCTACATTGACTTGAATGCAGTAGCCGCAGGCATCTTCCATTTTTCTGCAGCCAAAATGATGAGTCAGAGTTAATCCACAGCTACATTTTCCAGAGCACAGCAGAAAACGGTGGTGTGTGTGCTGTCAGGAGACAAACATCAATGGCTGCTCTGACCCTTCTGTTCTCAGTTAACCTGAAGCTCATGGTAAGTAGTGTGGAGGGGCTGCCCAGAGAACTCAGATTCCACTGTCCAGCCACAGGTTTCCTTTCAGAGATCTCTGATGCAGTTTCTTCCAGAAACCTCTTGTGAGGCATTTTTTCTTCTCTGCTCACATCTAGTCCACTAAACACCCCCTTGTAGAGCACTAGTCCACTAAACACCCCCTTGCAGAGTGGGAAGAGGCCCAGGACATCAAGACGTGAGCAGCGGGGTTGGAAGGGTGGTGTTCACGGTGAAAAGTGCTTTGAGCTGGCCCTGTGGCTCACCGGTACAGTGCTTGTCCAGCATGCGCTAGGCCCTTGGGTTCCAGCCCCAGCACCACACCACACATCTGGTCTGGGTTGTAGCTCAGTGGTAGACTTGTGTAATTTGCTCAGGCTCTGGTTTAATCCCTAGGATCACTAAAGTGTAAGAAAAAAAAAAAGTGATAAAACCCTTCTGCAGAGGAGGGGTTCTGGAAAGATTATCATAGCAGATCCATCTGCGGCAAAAGCCAAGTCACATAAGTTCCTATGAAGGAAGGCAGGTGGCAGAGCTTCTCCCAGATGCCGGCCTCAGGGCCAGAACAGAAGGAGGGAGACAGCAAGTCAAAACCAAGGTGCCAATGGAAGAACAATCAGTGCTTTAAACCATGAGGACCCCACCCCCATCCTCCCACTTTACTGAGGCCAAGCTTACAGTTACAGAACAAAGCAGATTAGGGAAGCGCGGTGCTGCCTTGGTCAGCTGGTGTCTCCCAGGGCTTGGGGCTAGGTCCCCACCAGCCTCAGGAATGTGATGAGTAGGGAAACACAGCCCTCAGCAGCTGTGCTCCTCTGTGTTTTTAGGTACCTGCTGCCCATGCTTGGCAAGGAGTACCTGACCAGGAGCAAGAGGCACTGGGGGAAGAGAAGAACCACCAGGGAACTTTCAGGAGGAAAAGAAAGCAGGGTGGACAGACAGACGGAAGCAGAGTGGTTAGGGTGGGTACACCTCCATTTGTGATCATGTGTTGTGACTCAGTTTACTCACTTGTAAATCAGAGCAGATAAGAGCATCCACCTCAAAGGGTTATTTAATGATTTCACATGTCAGTAAACACAAGTGTGAGTCCTGAGAGGACAGGCATGTGGTGGTAAATGGACACGTGGAACAGAGGATGGCTGCTGGCCGACCCTCTTCAGCAGCTCTGACGACACTGACAGCCACCCTCCCGATTACTGTACCAAGAGCTAGAGGAGTTTTAACCCACACCAGGTAAACTGGAGTGCGCAGCACGCCTCGGGCTGGCTTCCTCTTGCATGTGACACTGTTCTGCCTATCTGCCCTGGGTGTAGGTAGCTCTGTCACACAGGAAGCAGATGCTCTTCCTGGACTTTCACTGGCCGTTCCCTCGGCAGTCCAGTGGCTCTGGGGACAGCAGAGTCCCAGCAAGTCCTGCAGCTCAGGACAAAGCCAGGGCCAGTGCACTCAGTAGATCCCAGGGGGAAACTGCTCAGACTGGGACTACAGAGTCTCAGTTGCGGCTGTAGTAACATCACCTCCCCCTTCCATCAAAGTTTGACCTAAATTACAATGGAGTGAAAGTTGAGTGTATCTTCCCAGGTGCTAGTGTGAGATTCTTGAGGGAGGCACCACAAACACGCACCTCTTGCCTTTGATTGATCACACCTGACACTCCAGTGCTCCACTGCCCGTCTCTGGCTGGGCCAGTCCTTCTGGCCCCAGTGTTCAAGGGCAGACAGAAAAGATATTCTTTGGGCTGGGGAGATGGCTCAATGGGTAAAGTGTTTGTTGCATAAGCATGAGGACCTGAGTTCAGATCCCCACTATTCACATAAAAAGCCAGGCACAATCCCAGCACTCGGGAGGCAGAGGCAGGCGGATCTCTGTGAGTTCGAGGCCAGCCTGGTCTCCATAGCGAATCCAGGCCAGCTAGGGCTACAGGGAGACCCTGTCTCAAAAAGACCCCCCCCCAAAAAAGCCAGGCACATGATGCACCTCTACAACCCCTGTACTTGGGGTGATGTAAACCCTGGGGGCTCCCTGGACAGCCAGTTGAGGCAGCGAACTGTCAGTGAACTCCAGGTTCAGTGAGAGAACCTGACTCCAAAATTAAGGTAGAGAGGAATAGAGGAAAACGTGATGTTGACCTTTGGCCTTCACCCATGCACACGTGGTACACACACACACACACACACAGATAGTCCCTATGTTTTTGCATCTAATGGACGTATCAGTACCGACCGAATCCCAGGCTGGTTTGCACTGCCAGGTGCCAAGTCTTCGTCAGTGCCGCCTGCTCTCAGGAGCCACATGCCACCAGTGTGGTGGGAAATGGCAGGAGGTAGGAGGGACAGAGTGCAAAGCTACCTGGTCTGTTCATGAAGTTGCAGTGGCCCAAGCCCGCGATGTCCACCCTCTTCATGAAGAGCACCATGCTGGTCAAATTGGCTTCCTGCATCTCCGCGGGCTTCAGCAGCTTCATGTCTTTGGAGGCAAATTCTTCAGTGTACAGACAGAAAAGTTTTCCTAAAAGAAATGAAGGAAATGGCTTCAGGTGTGCTGCGTCACCCCCACGACTCCGCATGGCTGGGCTACTGTGTCCACTGCACTACCTGAGGGAGAGGACCCGAGGAGCTGCTTGCGAATTTCTGCTTGGCTTTGGCTGATGGGCTGCAGGACGAGGGAGGTGGCTCTGATCCGGGGGTTGTACACCTTCAACAAAAGACAACTGTTAGCTCCCGGAAACTCGGGTGCAGCTGCCCCCTCAACTTGAGGTGACCAGTGTGCAGCACACACCTCCAAAACACCTCAGTTCCTTTCCTTTGTCCAGCATTAGCCACATGCCAGGAGGTGGAACTCAAGCCTCTGACAAGGGGATGTGAAGGTTGCCTGCTTCCTTCCATAACCTTGGGCCCTCAGTACCACCTGCCACAATACCAGAACTGCCACCTCTCCAAGCACCAGGCTGGTGAGGGGACACGCCCAGGCCACGGGAAGGAAAAGGCTACCTCTCACCAGGGCTGTGCCGCTTCAACGTCGTGCACAGGCCGAGTGTGACCGCAGTGCCCACCTTTTTTAGGCAGGGCACTACAAACTACTACAATGCCACACAGAGCCCTGACAGCGACACTCACACATGGCTTAAAGGGGCAAATGACAGCCCTGTGTGATTCTATCGAGATTAACAAGCCAGGTACAGGGGTACATGCTTGAGATCCCAGCACTCAGGAGGCTGATACGATAGGTTCAAGGCCAGGCTAGGCTGCATGTGAGAGTCTGTCTCAAAAATGATGAACTAATTGGTTCCAAGGGAACATTCTTAGCCACTGGTACTATTGTGTCACAGGATAACAAGGACATTCAGGAAGCCCAGTGTCCTCAAGGGGTAACAGCTGCTCAAGAATCAACAGTTTATAGTTTCCTCTTGGTTGTCCTTGTTAACTTTCTATTAATCCCAGCACTCAGGAGGCAGAGGTAGGTGGAGCTCTGTGAGTTCAAGGCCAGCCTGTTCTACATAATGAGTTCCAGGACAGCTGGGGCTACAGGGAGATCCTGTGTCAAAAAGACCAAAAAACCCCCACTCTGATCAAAACCTACGTGGAGGAAAGCATTTACTTGGCTTATGTGTCCTTGAGGGAAACCAAGTTGGGAACTTAAGAACCCGGAAGCAGGAGCTGGAGCAAAGACCATGGAGGAATGCCACTTACTGGTTTGCTCCCCTGGCCTGTGCTCACCCTGCCCAGGGTAGCACCACCCACAGCGGGCTAGGCCCTCCCACATCACTCAACAATGGAGAAAATGCTTCACAGACATACACAGGCCAGTCGGATAGAGGAAGCTCCTCAGGTGAGTCTCCCTCTTCCCAGGCTGTCAAGGTGACAACTGAAGCTTCCAGCACAACTCTCAAAAGCTGTTTCTTTGGCTCCACTGTCTTTAGGGTTTAAGAACCCTTATTTTCATTCTGTGTGTGTGTGTGTTTTCTTAAAGAGAATAAAAATATTTTGAGTGAAATAATTTTATTTATAATAACTATAGACATGGGGAAGTGGGTAAGAAATCCTAATCCAACCTAAGGAATTTCTGGCTACTCATGGATGCTGGGAGGGAGAGAGACAATCCCTGATAGGGATGGGACTCTTGGTAGGTGGGGGGAGGGGGCAGTGGGGAGAGTCACAGATGGGGGAGGGGATCTAAATACCATCAAATTATAGTGTATGAAAAATCACAAAAATTCAATAAAAATTTTTAAAATATAGAATTAAAATTTTATGCCAATTATAACCCAGAGTTTGCGAAAACTTAGTCAATGCACTTGAAATTCATTTCCCCAAGATGCTAAACAGGCGACATGAAATTATCCACAAGGTGTACACAGATGAGGCTTCAGGAGTCAAACACTTAACTGTGCTAGGCACCTAGAGACAGAAGCACAGGACTGGGGCATGTAGCAGATGTGGAGGGCCTGGCCAGCATGTGGGAAGCCCTGGGTCCAATTCCCCAAATCCAATCCCCTCTGGGTCCAATCCCCTCTGGGTCCAATCCCCTCTGGGTCCAATCCTCCTGAGTCCAATCCACCCCCCAGCCCCCCTGGTCCAATCCCCTCTGGGTTCAATCCCCCCTGGTATCAATCGCCCCTGGGTCCAATCTCCACTGGGTTCAATCCCCCCTGGGTCCAATCTCCACTGGGTTCAATACCCAGTGAAAAGAAGGAAGAAGAAGAGGAGGAGGGAGGGAAGAAGATGAGGAGAACTACCACCTTTATACTGAAGTTTTATTTTTCCTCAAAACCTTCTCTGGTACCTCAATCTGTTTCCAGACTACCAATATGGTACTGAAAGATGAAGCCAAGACTTCAGTTGCTGGCTGCGGTCACTCTGTGCAAATACAACCCAATTCAAAGAATCCTGGGTCACACAGTGCACTCTCGTTTTCTGACCAGAGGCGTAGCAGGAACCCAGGCAGGTGGGTTCCCGCTACGTGATTGGCAGAGTTCAGCCTCCAGGAGAGCAATTACCTGTCTCCTTTCTACACCAACATCGATAACAAATCTGACAGTGTGGCTCCAGATCAGAGACTCCCCGGAGCTGGTGGTCAGTACCACTCTTCTCTGATACACTTGACGTCTTTTCTCTGTTTCATCAACTGGCTTGAACAGGGAGCATTTCTCTTTGGGATACAAAGGAACAACCACCAGCTCTCCCAGATCTGGGTTTAGAGTAGATCCTTCTTGACAGACAATTTCATAGGTTTTTTCAATATCCTAAAAGTGACAACAACAAAAAAAAAATCACCATCCAGGACAATAAAGAACAGTTCAGTACAAAAGCACCCAGGACTCAATGGTATCTTGGGCAGTAATCCACACAGGAAGATGTCCGTCCTGACGCCTCGGTGCACCTCCGTGCGCCCGGAATAAGGAAAGGGGAGTGCAACCTGGGTGCTAAATGTACTTTATAAACAATTCCATGGCTTTCAGTCCAAAGTGGGTTCCCTCCAGTGAGATGTCCTATTTTGCCTTTACTCCACTGTTCCTCCTGCTTGATGCCATTTCTCAGACCCATGAACAGCAGGAGATAAACAAGAATTCATCCTCACAGCAACGGGGGGCCTCACTGTGCCTTGATTAGCAAAACTGAGAATTGCACGATACCGTCTATTTATGTATGCATTTATTTATGTATTTATTTATTTTTGGTCTTTTTGAGACAGGGTCTCCCTGTAGCCCCAGCAGGCATGGAACTTACTATGTAGACCAGGCTAGCCTTGAACTCAGAGATTCACCTGCCTCTGCCTCCCAAGTGTTTGGATTAAAGTCATGCTCCACCATGCCTGGCCACAACATCATTTAGATTTTCCATAAAGGAAAGTATTCAGCCAGGTGTGATGGCTTATGTCAGTGTTCTCAGGACTCTGGGAGCTGAGGAAGGAGGACTGCTGTGAGATCAAGGCCTGCCTGGGCTAGAGTAAGTTTCAGGACAGTTTGGGCTGCAGTGTGAAGCTTCATCTCAAAAGACTAAAAACTAAAATGAAACATAAAGGCCCAGACGCACAATGATCAGGCTCCCCACCTGTGATTCGGGCTCCCTAGTACTTCAAAGTGGCAGATACACAGCAAGGTGGCGGGAGACAGGCACCGCCACCAAGAGCTCCCATGATTCAGGCATCTAGAATAATCTGTTCAAATGTATATCAGACATGTTGGGAAAGAATCTGCTAAGAAATCACACAGAAGCAAATTGCATAAAGCCCCAAGACAATGCATTTTAATGTTTATCTAGTTCTCAGATCCCGGCTAGCTTTTGAGAACAGATATTACTTAACCTAATTTTGGGTCATTTTTATATTACTTCTGCCTTTTAAAGTGCATGGCCAACCACCAGATGGAAAGTCTCATTTTAGCTTATCAGATTCACGAGTGTCTGAAAAACCCAAGGCAAAAAGTTGACTTTCTAGGGGCTGGAGAGGTGGCTCAAGTGGTTATGAGCACTGGCTGCTCTTGCAGAGGACTCAGGTTCAGTTCCCAGAACCCAGGCTAACAATGGTCTGTAAGTCCAGTTCCAGGAGACCTGACACTCTCTTTTGGCCTCTGCAGGCATTGCATGCATGGCAAATACTCATACACATCAATTTTTTAAAATGTAACGACAGTTTTCCTGAGGTCATTACAGTTTTGAAGAATCCATTCCCTCCTGTCTGCAGCTCATCATGCCTTCCTTTCTACACCACTTTTAGGGTGGGTCTAGTTACCTCTAGGGTTTTGGAGGACAGACCTGCCTTGAAGAGGGGTCAGGCATCAGGGGCCTCTGTGAAGTGGGTGAGGTGCCCCTTGGGGTGGGGGACAGACGACACAGCCCTTACACATTGCATTTATGTAACTTATGGGCAGAATCTTTTTCTTTTTTTTCTTCTTTTCTTTCTTTTTTTTTTTTTTTAAACAACTGAGCAAATAACACAACTATTTATCCTAAAAAAAAAAATTTGGTAATTAGAATAATAAGAACAAATGTTTTTATCAGCCCTTGGGAGGCAGGAAGATTGAGATATTCAAGAGCAGCCTGGAATACACTGCCGAGACCTCGGATACACTGCCGAGACCTCGGATACACTGCCGAGACCTCGGATACACTGCTGAGACCTCGGATACACTGCCGAGACCTCGGATACACTGCCGAGACCTGGGATACACTGCCGAGACCTCGGATACACTGCCGAGACCTCGGATACACTGCCGAGACCTCGGATACACTGTTGAGACCTCGGATACACTGCTGAGACCTGGGATACACTGCTGAGACCCTGTCTTAAAAAGAAAAGGGTTTCCCCACTTTCATAATCCATGTCGCTTCATTTTATGGCACGTTTCCGAGGACAGCCTGAGGAGGGATGTCCGCAGGAAGCAGGCCTCCCACAGGTGTCCCTTAACCCTCGAGAGAGAACTTGGACAAGCAGGGCCAACTCTAGAAGCCACTTTCGAGCAATTTCCTACCAAGATAAACATTAAAATTGTAGTCAAGTATTTATTCTTAGAATACTGTTGAAAAATAATTTTGGCAACCTAGTTTTTGCTCATTTTTGTTAACTTTTTTAGTTGGAGGTGGGTCCAAATGTTGAGGCTTGTTCTAAAACTTTTTTTGTGTGTGTGGGAAGAAATAAAACAAACAGGGGAAATGCAGAATGCAGCAGACAGGTGCTACCTACAGCTCACACTCCTCACAGTACTTCGAAATTAGTCTTCAGAAATGGAAAATGTAAGGTATGCTTTGAGCCTTGCTGTGCATTCATTTCCTTTTTTTTTTTTTTTTTCCCTTTTGGTCTTTTTGAGACAGGATCTCCCTGTAGCTCCAGCTGGCTTGGAACTCAGTATGCAGACCAGGCTGGCCTTGAACTCAGAGATCCACCTGCCTATGCCTCCCAAGTGCCAGGATTAAAGGTGGTATGTGCCACCACGCTGGGCCATTTCCTTCATTCTTAATGTGTTTAGGGCTTCACTTAAGTGTGTGGGGCCTTCCCATGTCAACCTGAAAAGCAGTGCAGACAGCAACTCCCACTGAAGGAAGATAACCAGCAGTTGTCCAGCCTCCAGATCAGAGAAAGCCTACAGCTGCACAGAACATTCCAGGAAAACCCCAACCCATGCACACCTTTGTGGTCCTTACTACTGCATAGCAATCTGGCTGGACGTTACTATGAATCTACTTCATCTGTTTTGTTTTAAGCTTGACGATGACTGTGTGATAAGGAACAACAGGCTGTAAGGACACAGGATGCTCAGCCTGTCTCCTTCTGAGACCAGGGGATCAGTTCACAGCAGGCATGGAGCTGAGCCAGCAGCTGGGGCATGTGACTCACCTGACCTGACCACAGGACCAACTCACCAAAACCAAAGCATCTGCAAACATTTCCACAGTTTGAGTGAATTTCTTTTCTTTCTTTTTTTGGTTGTGTTGTTGCTGGGTTTTTTTGCTTGTTGTTTGTTTGCTTGTTTTTAAAGACAGGATCTCCCTGTAGATCTCCCAGCTGGTCTGGAACTCACTATGTAGACTAGGCTGGACTTGATCTCACAGAGATCTGCCATACCTCTGCCTCCTGAGTGCTGAGATCAAAGGTGTGCACTACCATGCCAGGCTTGAAATGAATTTCTTAAAATACGGCCATCACTCATTTTGTTAGACCACCTACGTTTGCTCTCACATGGTATTTTAGTGCTGTGGCAGTTTTTTTTTTAATGTGTATGAGTGTTATGCATGTGTGTATGTGCACCCATGTCATGCAGTATCCCCAAGAGGACAGAAGAGGGTGTCAGATTCCCCTGGAACTGGAACTGCTGATGGTTGTTAGCAGCCATGTGGGTGCTGGGATTTGAACCCAGGTTTTCTGCAAGAACAACCAGCACTCTTAACCATTGAGCCATCTCTCCAGCCCCCACTGTGGCAGGTTTTGATTGTGCAGAAATCAAGAAAGCTTCAAGTGGCGTGGGGAAGTAACTGTCAACTGCTGTGAGCAAGAAGGCGGCTCATGGGTCCCAGAACTGTGTGCAGCTTGTCAGGCGGCAGACAGATACCACGTGGAGAACTCAGGCTGGCGCTGCCAGACAAAGCTGGCTTCCAGGGAAGGTGTGAGAGAGCCAGCAGGACTGTGGCACTGCTGTGCGTGGCCACCACAGGGTGGGTAGCTGTAGTGCCTCTGGATAAGAAGGAGCCCACCAGTGGAGCGTCCGGTGCTGGCCAGTCCACAGTGGCAACACCCAGCATTCTCCGGGGCCTACAGCCATCTCCTTACAGCTTTCATGACCTCAGCTTCTAAGGCAGATGACTGTGAGCAGAAAGTTCTTAACAGGGCATGCTTTTTCAGCCTGACTCAAAGTTCCATGGACTTCTTAGTTTCCACTACCAGCCTTAGCAGACTGCATCCTTTAAAGCTCAGCAGTTTGGAGGTCACCATGTCATGTCATTAATGGACACACTTGTAAGAATCAAGTGCACTAGGACCTACTTCTGTTAGGAGTTTTGTTTTCCCAAGCATCCATTTTTTTCTTTTTTAAACATTTACTTATTTGTGGGGCCGGAGAGATGGCTCAGAGGTTAAAGGCTCTGGTTGCTCTTCCAGAGGACCCGATTTTGATTCCCATCACCCACATGGCAGCTAACAACTGTTAGTAACTCCAGTTCTGCCCTCTTCTGACCTCTGCAGGCACTGCACAACACAGGTGCACTTACATACATGCAGGCAATATACTCATACACATAAAATTTTAAAAATTTACTTATTATTATTTTTGGATACATAGTCTCTCTATGTAGCCCAGGCTAGCCTCCAACTTGAGCCCTTCCAATTGTTCTCCTTTAGCCTGGTGAGTGCTAGGTTTATAGGCACGCCACTGCACCTGGCTCTATTCTGAAATTTTTGCTGACTAACCTCAAAGATGTAGATGACCTCTCACCCCATCAGTCTTGGTTATGTTATGACTTTCCTTAGGGCATTCTTGAACACTCTAAGTCATGCAAGATTGGAGCTTGATAATGAAACAAATCACTGTCATAGGAAAAAGATTAGTATTGAAGGGAACGTGAATCAGCAAATATGAATGTATTTATGCAGATGAGACTCTAAATTACTTTCTCTAAGAAAACAGATAAAAGGTAAGTCTCAAGAAAACAGCCCCAAGCTTCCAAAGCAAGGGGTGCAGTCTTTACCACTGCGGTGGGTGGAGGGTGGGCGTTCCTCTAGAGAGCACACCCTGGAAGCCACAGGGCATCAGGGACCCTCACCCCTCAGGAGGCTCATCCTGCATCAAACAACTTCATTCTGGTTTCCGTTTAATCACTAGCACCATTACATACCTGGGTCAAGGTCTGAAAACTAGTGCTTACTCTGAGAAGACAACGGGCTGTGCAGGAAGTAAAAGGGCAGAGAACAGGCTAGGCAGTCTCTAGGAAGGGAGGTCTGCTTCGGGTGATCCTGGCTGGAGGATAAAGAAGGGCCAGGAAACCTTCTCTACAAATAAAGCAACCTCAGCAGCACTGACTGTGTGAGGTGGGAGAGAGAAGGAGCTCAACGCTGCACTTCCCAGCGCTCTTTCGGAGAGGGGTTTGTGAGAAGGCTACTAGCATTTTCCTCTTTCAGCTCGGAAGGAAGGAAGGAAGGTGCTCAGGAAGATGCATGGAACTCTGTGGCTCTGCTGCACCCCGCACTGACTCTCACGGGCACTTGCGGGGAACTGCATGTGGCCTAACTCCAAGTGTGGAGGTTGTAGCTCTGATCAGGCACCAGGGAAGCAGCTGTGCGTAAGGTCCTCATGTGTCCACTGCATGTCTCTGAGAGTGGCTGGAGTCAGCAGCTGGCTGGCCAGCTCTGCCTTGGTGGAGGGGTCAGGGTGGGGGATCATTTCTCTAAACTCCTCCCCACTCCTTTTCAGAGAGATTGGACGACAGGCAACACAGCGTCCTTATGTGCAGACACGAGGAAGTATGTGCACAGTGACTGTGAGGACAGGAACTGTCAGTGATTACATGATGTGCCTCATTACAATACTCTGCAAGGTCAGAATATTGCTCACTTACTTGCTCACAGGCCAGAAAGACTACGATGTCACCCTTCTCACCCGAGCGGTGGATTTCAAGGATAAGGCGTAAACTAGACTCCAGAGAATCCTTGTGAGCCCCGCTGAGGTACACGACCTCCACGGGGTGCTTGTTCTTCACTTCTATGAGAGGCACGTTGCCATAGTATGAGCTGAGCTTGCTGACGAGGAGCGGGGAGCAGTTAATTATGAGCTTCAGTTCCGGTCTGGCCAGTAACACATCTTTCAGAAGTCCCAGCAGCACGTCGGTGGCAACACTTCTTTCGTGAATGTCATCTAAGATGATGACCCCATAGCTACCCAAAAAAGGATTGGACATCATTTCTCGTTGCAACATCTCATCAGTACAGTACCTAGAGAGAAGAAATTCTAAAGTCAGAAATGTTCTCATGAGAAGCTGCGCAAAGAATTCCTGAAACACAGACAGCTCTCTCACACTCCTTCTCTCTGTCAGGGGTTCCACACCTCCTTGGAGCCAAGAGTCCTCTGAGATGGCAGAAACACAAAACCTACAGAAGCAAAATTTAAATGTAAGCAGAGTGATGACACACACCTTTAGTCCCAGCACTGGGGAGGCAGAGGCAGGTGGATCTCTGTGAGATTGAGTCAGCCTGGTCTACATAGTGAGTTCCAGACCAGCTGGGGTACAGGGAGACCCTGTCTCAAAAAAAAAAAAAAAATTGAGGCTAGAGAGATGGCTCAGTGGCTAAGAGCACTGGTTTCTCTTGCAGAAGACCCAGGTTTGATTCCCAGTACCCACATGGCGGCTGTTAACTCCAGTTCCAAGGTATGTGACATCCTCTTCTGACCTCCGAGGGCATTGCATGATACGGGTGCACTTATACACATGCAGGTGATACATATAAAAGTAATAAATTATATATATATTTGGTCTTTTTGAGACAGGGTCTCTCTGTAGCTCCAGCTGGCCTGGAGCTCTCTATGAAGACCAGGCTGGCCTTGAACTCACAGAGATCCACCTGCCTCTGCCTTCCACATGCTGGGATTAAAGTCATGCACCACCACACCCAGCTAATAAAATATTTTTTTAAAAAGTAAATGTAGTTTGTAGATGTTCACTGACTCCCCGAGAATCATCAAGAACCCCAGGTTGGAGACTTTTGTTTATACAGGTCTGTGTGACAAATGCTTCTCACAAGTGTCCATCCCACTTGCACAGACTCAGTGACACCAACTACAACCAATGCTCTTCACAGGGAGGAATGCACATTTAACGGTTGCCTTTGGCTTTATGAACAAGAGCAGTGTTATCCTGAAACACTCTCGTTGTGTACACTACCCCCCCTTTCTTTCATCAATGGAGTGCTGGGTAATAGCACATGCTTTCCAAGGAAAGGGCTCAATGTGGCTTTCCTGGCTCAGACTCAGGATGGGCGCTGAGGTGCTGGTGGGAGGCTATCACCAAAATGCTGTTCAAATAACAGTGGAAGACAAGTACCTGAACATAATCATCAGTTTGCGACCCTGTGCAAACTGGCCAGAATGCCTGGTGGGCTGAAGGTGGGGGACAGGGTATCATCACTAGTTTGGTTTTTTGTTTGTTTTTATTTGTTGAAGCAGAGTCTCCTGTATCCAAGGTTGGCCTCAAACTCACAATTCTCCCACCTCAGCCTCCTTCACTTAGTGATTTTGTTTTTTGTCTTTTTGAGATAGAGTCTCCCTGTAGCCCCAGTTGGCCTGCAACTCATTCCTAATTGAGGAATGGTCAAGCCTAAAAATGGAGTTACCCTGACCACAGCAGGATTACAGTTTATGCAAGATGAGGACTAACACATCCCAAATCCGACTTTCCGATCTCTTGTCAACCCTACTACTCAGTGATCCAAGTTACTACTATCTCATTTCAAAGAAAATTATGTTTACCTGCTTCATGTCAGAAAACAATCTGTCCCTTTTCAGAAAAACTCAGCAGAGCTCTCTTCTTACCAGAAGCTGTGCTTCCCGTAAAGTGGAGGAGATGCCATGCTGTGTAAGTATATCCAGCTTGATTTAAAAGGGAGAAGACAGTGACCTCTTTAAAACTGCTAGACTCAAGGCCATGATATAATACTTAAGGAATCACAAGCCTTCAGCCTTTCCTACGTAATACAAAGATGCATTTCTTACCTTCACATTAATAAGATTCCAAATGAACAATGCTTTAAAACACATGATCACTAGTAACTATGTGAAAAATACACAGATATTTTGTCAGCGTTACGGAACATGTAGTGCAGTTTATGTCTTAAATTTGTATCATAAAAGCCGAGAACACGGTAACATATTTGAAAGTTGCATTAATGTTCATTTACATATTGAGGGCTTCTTGTTTTCTTGTGTTTTTGTTTTTTGTTTTTTTTTGTCTTTTTGGAGACAGTCTCCCTGTAGTTCCAGGACAGCTAGGGCTGTGTAGACCAGGCTGGCCTTGAACTCACAGAGATCCACCTGCCTCTGCCTAGCAAGTGCTGGAATTAAAAGTGTGCGCCAACACGCCCGGCCTTACATATTGAGTTTGACCATAACAAAAACCTGGAACTTTTCAGCTTTGGAAACTGTAAAGGTCAGTGTTAAAGATCATGTGCCACTGCTACAAGATACCGTGACATGTTGTCTAAGAAAATTAGTTCAGGGGCTGGAGAGATGGCTCAGCAGCTAAGAGCACAGGCTGCTCTTGCAGAGACCAGGGTTCTGTTGCCAGCACCCACATAGCAACTAATAACTGTTAGTAATTCCTGTTCCAGGAGATCTGACACCATCTTCTGGCCTCTGTGAACACTGCATGCATGTGGTGCATTTACATACATGTAGGCAAAACACTCATAGGCATAAAATAAAATAAATAAAAATTTAAAAAGAGAAAACTAGTTCAGGTATTTAATACTGAGGCATCTACTGTTTGAAAAGGTCAGAAAAAGAAAAAAAAAAAACTTAAAGAACCAAATTGCTATATACAACATTAAAACAAAACAAAACAAAAAAACAAGGAAGGAAGGCAGGCAGGCAGGCAGGAAGGAGGGAAGGAAGGAAGGACCTTTACTAGGTACCCCATGCCCAGCAGGAGGTGCTAAGGAGAACAGAGATAACACTGAATTTAGAACACTGGCTTCATGATCAGTAACCAACCTTAAAACTTCTGATTTAAGAAGGCCTGGTGACATAGCTCAGTGGTAGATCATTTACCTAGCATGTGCAGGGCCCTGGGTTCAATCCATTCCCAGCATCATTAAGAAACATTTGTAGTTTAGACAGCTCTTCAATCTGAGGGTACTCAAAATTATAGCTGGCACACCTCTCCAGGAAAATGAATCTGGTTCTGGCAATAATTATAAAGATGTAATTACAAATTTAATTATAATCACAGAGTAACTTCCACTTCTATCCACCACCCTTCAGTTCCAGCCATACAGCCACTTAGTCCTTACAACACTCCTCTGAACAAGGCATCAGGCAGCAGGTTTATAAATGAGGAAACCTGAACATAGAGAGCTCTGGGAGGCGCCCTCTGCAAGGTCCCAGTTAGAAAGTGATAGAGACACTGGCCTTCTCTTCAGAGCACAGGATTCCGAGAGGGAAGCACACCACTGTCTTCTTTTACTGTATAAGGCTTTCCAACTATTGGGCCTCCCTGAGGCTCAGGCCTTGCTGGTTTGGGAGGAATGTCATAGTGGAGGAGGAAACCCTGTGTTCCAGGAACAAGGTCTTAAAGTGAGAGTACAGAAACTAAGGATAGAGCCATCCAGTAGCATCAGAGGAACAGAGCCTACGGCGGCCAGAGTAGGCAGCCATTCCTCTGCATGAGCCATGCCTGTCCTGTAGCCTCAAGGTTCCGGTTCAGAAAGGGACACTTCAATGCAAACTCAGTCTTTCCTCTGCTTGCCAGAATCCAATGCTTGAGTTTTGGACCATAAAATAATTCCATGAAAGCCAAGTCCAACACATGACAGCAGTCTGAAAAGTAAGGAGTGCTTCAATACACTCATAGCATCAGTAACCCCCATGGCTATTTACACCTGTGGCCTTCTCAATTTATGTATATGATTCCCAAGGCCGTTCTGAATGGCCTCAAAGCACCTGGGAGCCCACAGCAGCTGCTGGGGCCAGGGAAGGACTATCTCCTCCCACTACCAAGTTTACTGAGCATCTGCCACTGGACAAGTGCATCAGAAGCCAGGGAGATGGGTGCAGAAAGCTGCCCCGCCCTGTTACTCAGAAGGCATGCCATTGCACTGGCATGCACGATGGGGCGTGGGTGTGCAGACACTCTGAGATCAGTCTCCTGGAGAGGAAGGCAGTACCCAGGGCAGGTAGAGCTTATGGGCTGGTCGTCTGGCTCAAGCAGCTTTGGTCACTCCTTGCAGTGCGGACAGGCAGGCACTGTCCCTAAGAGAGATGATGGAGACGCGCTGGCCCCAGTCCTGACTTTTCCAACCCTCTCACTTCCTTCTTCCCTTTCCTATCTCTATCAAGGTCCCGAAAAACATCATTCAAAGGCCAAGAGAACTAAACACAAAAGTCTGGTAATGTAACTTAGGGCAGCCACAGAGGAGGCTCCTTGAACTGGGGAGACTGAAAAGTGTGGCTTGAAAAGCAGAGATCTGAAGGGCCCCAGGAGGCCGACGGCAGGTAACACAGAAGTCATAGCACATTCCTAATGCTTGATGATGGAGGGTGGGCAAAGCCTCCTGGTACAGGTGACCGTTCCATTGATTCCTGACTGACTAAGAACTGGCCAAACCCAGAGGAATCATGGGCATCCCAAGCACAGGGATCACTGTGTGTGGAACAGGCACAGAGGTGTGGAAGCCTGGAGTTTACATAGAACTACAGGGAACCACAGGAACCCCCGTGGCAATGGCGTTGGACCAACCAGGAGGCAGAGCTCTATAATGAGGAGATGGAAGGACTCGGGTCAAATGAACAAGCATTATTTTTTCCCCTTGAAGATTATGTATGGGGAGTCATGGAAGTTTAGAAAAGGAATGACTGAAGATGTCAACACAGAAAAACAAGGGGTATGTGTCAGGTTGCCAACAGAGCAGTTATTATCCCATAGATGCTGGCATGTGGAAGGCAAGAGAGTGTTCTTGCAGGAGGGCAGAACCCAAGCCTGGGGACACGGGTCGGAAACAAAGCGTCTGAACACCAACCTCAGAATGGTTTCACTGGTGGAGCAGTTTTCAAAAGGGATCACGTAGCCAACTTCATGACCGATGTTAACATCCATCTCATCTGCTACCCGCAGGGCCAGCTGGACCGCAGTCTGCTTGTGGACCTGTGTGCATATCACGCCCCCATGCTGGTAGTGGATGGAAAGGCAATATTCAGCACACCACTGAGGAACCTTTGACAGGGAAAATGACACAGGATCAGCTTGCGCTCGGAAAGACAAACCTAAAGCAAGGAGGGACAGCTCCCCCCACAGCTCCCATTACTTTCTACAAGACCTTTCCTTTCACCAGTGGACTGTACTAAATCTTACTGAGCAGAGCTCTAGCAATGGTCTTATGCATTCTGATTACTAGTAAGTAAACTTAGGATACGCAGGTGCAAGCAGGAAAACTGCAACTCTGGAACTGACTCCTTGATGTAAAAAGGCAGATGAAACAGAGAAAAATTTAAAGTGTTCTGAGCCTATGCCATTTTGTGTTCATACTGGGCCAGTGCAGGAGCCACAATTGCTTTTTTTTGGGTCTTTTTGAGACAGGGTCTCCCTGTAGCCCCAGCTGGCTTGGAACTCATTATGTAGACCAGGCTGGCCTCAAGCTCACAGAGATCCTCCTGCCTCTACCTACCAAGTGCTGGAATTAAAGACGTGCGCCACCATGCGCAGCGCTGCCTATGCCAGTTTTGAAAGACTCATGTATTCACAAATTATTTTCTTTCTGGTAATAAGAAAACCCCATAAAAATATACCTTCAAGTATCAGCTATGATGTTTTTAAAAAAGTATTTTATTATTTTTATTTTATGTGTATGTGTGTGGCCTGCATGTATGTTAAGTGCACCTGTGTCATGCAATGCCCATGTAAGTAAGAAGAGGTGGTCGGAGCTTCTGGAACTGGAGTTTACAGACAGTTGTTAGCTGCCATGTGGGTACTGGGAACTGAACCTGGGTCCTCTGCAAGAGCAGCCAGTGCTCTTAACTGCTGAGTGGTCTCTCCTACCTCAGCTATTATATTTTTTGTTTGTTTTGCTTTGCTTGAGATACAGTCTTACCTATAGTCCCAGTTGGCCTGGGATTCACTATGTAGACCAGGGTGATCTTGAACTCAGAGATCTGCCTGCCTCTGCCTCCCGAATGCTGAGATTAAAGACGTGTGTCACCATGCCCAGAATGAGCTATTATGTTTTAAAGAATACAATATTAAAGAGCATTTAAATAAAAAATATAGACTCGAAATTAAAGTATTTATATTTTAATTTAAATGATCTTAGCAATATGCAAATGAGCCTGTTTAACATATCTCTTCTAAAGAAAGCTAAAATAGTCTAGCAATTTATTATCTAAATATAATTAAAAATAAAACTAGTGAGATAATCAACTAAGTTGCCTAGATTCAATTCCAAGCAATGCTGCTCTTAAGTCATTTTATTTTAAAAATTCTTTTATCTAAATGTGTTATGGATCAACTGATTTTTATCAAGTTTATTTACATAAGATTTATTATAGTTGAAGGCACAAAATGCATTTTGTACGCTACAATCTTAAAGCGCTGTTAATAAATATGCTTTGTAACATGCATTAAAAAGTCAGTCCAATCTTAAAGCGCTGTTAATAAATATGCTTTGTAACATGCATTAAAAAGTCAGTCCAAAGCCGGACATGGTGGCACATGCCTGTAGTCCCAGCACTTGGGAAGCAGAGGCAGATGGATCTCTGTGAGTTCAAGGCCAGCCTGGTCTACATAGTGAGTTCCAGGACAGCTGGGGCCACAGGGAGACCCTGCTTCAAAAAAAGACAAAAAAAAAAAAACAAAAAACAAAAACAAAAAAACCCAAAAAGTCAGTCCAAGGGTGTTTTTAAAAAGAACTAGGTATTTAAAGCCTGTTAACATTTAAGTTATCTTGAGGTTTGCTACTTAGACCCATCGTGGAAACTTTAGACTTTAATCCTCCTGTAATTTGAAAGTATAATTCCAAAATGAGCCGCATATTTATGATTAATTGTACGAATACAATCCCTCTACACCGAAACGGTGCCTGCCTTGGCAACGGGTTGCAAATGATCAGTCATTATTTATTCAGTGCCTACTTTGTTCTTTGAAAATAGAAAGTTTAAGATGCCGCACAGGGAATCAGAGTCAAGGAATGACCTGGGAAACAGCCAGGCATCCGAGAAGGACCGAGGTGAGTCACAGGCCCGGCTGTTCCACAGAAACTGATTACCCCACCCTTTACTTTCCTTACTGATAGAGTGGAGATCAGGGTCCCCTCTTGGGGTTCTTAGTCTCATAAAAAAAAAAAAAAATTAAAAATGAGCTCAAACAGAAGCTCAAGGAAACTGTAGTAAGAGTTTAAAAGAAACCCCCAGGGCTGGCAAGCTGCAATCCCAACAGTTGCTCAGAGAACGGAGGGAGAAGGAGAAAGGCCGTAGGTTTCCGCTGGCATGGAGGTCAGGTCCAGGGCCCACTAGCAGTCAGACTGTGGGGAGGGAAGCTTTACAGGAAAAGTAAGGAAGCCCAAAATGTCGGGGGAACCCAGATTGTAGGGAAAACAGTCTAAGAAGAGACAAGCAGAAGCCACAATTTTCTGAAGACTCTTAAAGCCTCACGTCTATCTGCGGCCCAATAAGCTGTCACATTTAGAGGCAGGGATTCTTGGCAGGCAATGTACATGAACCATTATCCCCCTACCTCTTCAGCATGGCTTCAGGTGAGCCCACCTTCCTAGGGTGGTCCCACTGGCCAGTGATCTACCTGTGTCCTAGGGTGGTCCCATTGGCCAGTGCTCTACCTGGGGCCTAGGGTGGTCCCATTGGCCCGTGATCTACCTGGGTTCTAGGGGTACAACCACTGGTCAGTGATCTACCTGTGTCCTAGGGGTGGTCCCACTGGCCAGTGATCTACCTATGTTCTAGGGTGGTCCCACTGGCCAGTGACCTACCTGACCCAACAGGAATGTCAGGTCTCTACCCAGGCCAGAGATTCTTTTTCTTGCTACTATAACACTGCCTCCTCTGAAGAGGTCATCATTTAGGAATTAGAACAGTGCCCCCAAACACTTCTGGCATCTCCAGCAAGGATGAGGTTGCTAAGAAGCCCAAGGACAATTTGGCTTTTAGCCAAAAAAGAAACTGGTTACTTTCTTTGGGGTCTTTTCACCCTAAGTTGCCTAGCTAATTTCTGTCTTCTGTCTCATCACTATCTGTACAATAATGAACAGAGGAGACTATCCCCCATGTCTGAGATTGGCTGACATTTTCTCCAAGGCGCCTGGTCATCTCCCTTGTGTATGAGAGCCCTGCTGTACTGGCTGTTGACAGCAGGCAGGCCTCGGGTGGTGGCCTGTCACCTCAGAGCACATGCGCATCGCCCACCAGACTAGGAGCTCTGATGGCAGACACACACCTTGGTCACCAAATTTTCCCAGGGCTCAGTTAGTATTTGTTAAATGAACAAATCGGTTTCTTAAATTTTCCAGAAATATTTTAGAATGATCCTACATAGTCTATCCTGAACTGTTTCAAAATGAGACCTAAATAGAAATTCATATAAAAGTCTGTCTCCTTTGCCCCTTAGTGAATGTGATGGTTAAACTTCATGGCCCACTTGACAGAATTTAAAGTCACCTAGGAGACATGCCCCTGGCCATGTCTGTGAGGTCACTGCTAGAGTGGTTTGCACACTGAGAGAATTTGGGAACTAAGGGGGCCTCTGCCCTCTTAGAGCTCACAGCCTGGGGGGAAGTGAAGGAGTGGCTCCAGGATGTACAAGCACATCATAGTAACAGAAAAGAAGAGGGAAGGGCCTGGCCCAGGACTAAGCACAGGGAGGGGTAATAAAGTGGAGGTTATTTACCACAAAGGAAGAATAAGCAGAATCTGCTCATGCACAGGAAGAAAACATTCCATCATTTCTAATTTAAAATATTTACTGTTTTATGTGTATGTTTTGCCTGCATGTAAGTGCACCTGTGTTGTGCAATGCCCATGGATGTCAGAAGAGGGTGTTGGATCTGCTGGAACTGGAGTTACGGATGGTTGTTAGTCTCCATGTGGGAGCCGGGAACCGAACTCAGACCCTCTGTAAGGGTAGCCAGTGTTCTTAACCTTTGAGCCATCTCTTCGGCCACCATTTCTAATTTAAAACACAGGTGTTAACAGCATAATGAGCATGAACAGGAAATGAGAATGTGAAGTAACAGGAAATGAGCATGGAAGTAAATGAATGAGGCTGCAGAATGAATGAAGCATGGGAGAAGAGGAGGAGGGAAGAGGACCATCAGTGTCAAGGGCATCTCAGAGATGTCAGAGGACAGCAGCTGTGGCTATCCTGACCTCCACTGGAAGGAAAGCCAGGATCTGGAGAGGTTGGAGGTGGACCCAGGGAGGGTGGTCCTAGAATTTCAGAGCTGAAAGGAATCTTGGGCAGCCATGTAGGCCAAGCCCTCCCCCATTTTACACACAGGCAAACAGATTTAGAACTGGGAACAAACAGCCCTTCCATTCGCCAGATAACATAGCCCGTGGAAGACTGAACACATGCATGCTTTGCTCAACATAGAGATGTTTACTTAGAAGCCAAGTTCATAGCTGAGCAGAAATCACAGCTAATTACAGAGCTTGGAAGATGTGTTAATCACAGTAAGTCACCCCCTGCAGACTGCAGAGTTCTCTTTAAACAGAAAAAGGAGAACTCGGGTAGTCTAGAACTCCGTTGTCGAGCTAGGATTCCTTCCCTGGCTGCCTCCGCATCACTCCAGGTGAACTGCAGCATCCTGAAGTTTGAGACCTTAGCAAATGCCCAAGTATTGCTGAAAAAAGTAAGGAGTCAGCAAAAGCTGGGAATCTGGTCATTTCATAATTTTAAGGGACAGCAGGAGCCCAGCTTTCTAAGGAGCACCTGCATCCTCTGCACTGTGGTGAACATGCTCTGCCTGCTGACAGTCCCCACAGGGAACCTCTCACCTGGGAACTTCCACTGTCCCAGGAGGAGCCTTACTCTGGTCACCCCAGATAGAGGTGACCAGATAGAGTAGCGATTCTCTTTCCCAGGGCCGGTGGGCTGGGAGCCAAGCTGGCTGTGGACACCAGAGGTTACAGAGAGCCCCACCTCTCCACAGATGGCTGGGCTCCCTCTCTTTAGGGAGCTGTATTCTGAGACACTGTGTGGCAGCTATGGCA